TCGTTATATTTCCGTTAACTGGCAATGAGGTAAAGCTTACTTAGTACATTTCTTATTCGTCACAATTGATTTTTTTTTCGTCAACTGGGGACGAGGAAGAATCCATGTTTTTTGTCTGTCAAATTGATACGTAAGCTCGGAATATACTGTCTAGTATCCATGGTTAGTTCTGCTTGCTTATGACTAGACGACACGAGACACTGTATAATATGCCCCGTGGTCTTTATCGCTCCAGAATGAAATTGTAGAAACTTATGGTTCAAGTCGAAGATCAAAACTATGATAAAATATAGAGTAACGGTCGCGCCCTCTAGTATCAGGAGTTTATAAGAAGTCGCCGTTTACACACGAAGTCCTGCGGCGCAGCAAAGTAAATGACAGGCATTTTTAAATGATCTAAACATGAATTTAAAAAATCTGAAATTCGGTCATAGGATCTCTAGACCGTAATCAAGCGTTGTTCAATTGGTCCGTCAGTCATTGTTTGGTCATGGGTTATTATAATAGTTACTATATAAGACAGTTGCATAAGTGTATACGCTGTGATCAGGCACAGAGATATAATGTTACCAACTGTGAAATGAAGGGTGAAGGGTAGTGCTATTAATAACGTGAGTTACCTTTTAAAACTACAAAAAAGCCTGAGAATCACTTCTCAATTTGCTTATATTTTTTGTGTATTGCCAATGATTCTACACTTCAAACGACCAGACCGAAATTATCTGCGAAAAAAACCTAAAATAACTTTCTAAAATTAATATTAATTAAATACAGAATAATTACTCAATTTGGGTAGTAACTAATGATAAATTACGTATTCGATAATAAGCACCGAGCCAATGAAAAACACTTACTGATTTTTGACATTTTGTCAGCTGCGTGGGTGGTAATGGGCTTCGTAATTCAAAATATGGCTTTCTGTTGTCCTTCTATTTATTTTTCAATGTCGCAACACAAAGAGTAATTTGGAGACCTACGATTAAAGAAATAAGGTTTATTTTCGTAATTGATGTCTGACAACCTTCTTTGTTTAGCGGTTTAACATAACGTCTCTTCTTCCGACGGTTGCGGGTACCAACCCCGCACAAGACTAACATTCATGAGCATATTTGTATTGATTTTATATGTTATATATATAAAATATTATATATATATATGTAGTGTTAAAACAGCCAATTTTATCAATATCAATATAATCGTCTTCATTTATACATATAAAGAAAACTTAATCGTATATACCACGTTAGCATATAACATCAATATATTACATGCTTACGTGGTCTTACACTTATAGTCAGTACAAGATTCCAAAATGCTAGAGCAGTGTTTTTAAAACTTACCGATACTGCCCCTTAGTTTTTAGGGATCCCCATAATGTGAGAAACGTTACGGCGCAACCGAAAAAATTCACATCCGAAAATGTCCTCAAAGGCCTATTTCTTGTTCTACAACTGAAAATGACTGGCCTGGGAGCTAGGTTTCTTGAACGCGGCTATCACAAAAAAGTGCTTACATTTACTGCGAAGATATTTATTTACAGGTAGATATAGATTCCATTTTCGTCAGAGTAGACAGTTACTCTATACTAGGTGTATTTCGCGGCTTCGCCTGCGTGAATCAGTAAGTACACAGAGTACATAGATTACATGTGGGAAGAAATAATGTAGCCTACCCGTATACCAAATTTCATTCCATTTCATTCGGTAGTTTTTGCGTGAAAGAGTAACAAATATCTATCTATCCTTGCAAATTCACGCATTTATAATATTTATAGGACTAGTAACAACTCTTTTATTCCCCAGCGAATGTACAAACAAAATGTTCCATCGAAACGAATAAGCGAAGAGTTAGTTTATAATATTAATGAATCTCAAAATTTTCAAATTTGTTTTTGATCCTTTAAAAATAATTCGTCACTTGCTTCGGTCTTCCGTAGACAAGTAAAGGCATCGTCTTGTAAGCTATGTTTGTAGTTTACAACCGACTTAAAAAAAGGAGGATTTAAATTTGGTTGTTTTTATTTTTGTTACTTCCAAAACCGATTTGGAATTTTTTTTTTTTTTATCTGAAAAGGTACTTACAGATTGGCCCCATAGAAATTTAATCAAAATTGGTTCAGTAATTTAGTTTTTAAAAACACAACTTTAATTATTATGAATAAGATAGATCCCCTACTATTATAAGTACAAAAGTTTGTGAGTTTGGATGGATGTTTGTTACTTTTTCACGCAAAAACTACGGAACGAATTTAAATGAAAATTGTTACACGAACAGCTTTTTACACGGGCGAAACCGCGTAATACAGCTAGTAAAATATATTTTTAACGTATAAGTCGTAACGTCTCGTAGTCCGAATAAACGACCCCATATTATTATTATACGTTATGTCTAGACAATCTATTCATCACAACAACACACATTCGAAATCACGTTTCGGTTGGCAGTGTTGCTACCTGCTTTTTTTCACTCAAGGCCGCCACAGGCGGTTATGGACGTGCCGGCTTGCTGAATTATTAAATTTGAGTCGCTGTTTGTACCGAATAAAAAATGACAAATTAGAATATAGAAGAATGTCGTTCCTCTTAGCATCTTGATATGACGTTTCGTAGTGTTGCGTCTGAGCGAAGAACTTCTTCAAGTAAATTCTATGATGACTATATGGTAAATGGTAGTTAGAGCCTGCACAGATAAAAACACAGAATGTTATCTTCGCGTGAATGAATTAGCTTTATACTATTCTTTAGGCAGAGTTCGTTACTACAGTGGAAATTTGTATGATGTTAGGATTATAGTAGGTAAAGTCTTTACATGGTATAAATATACAGAGTTAGTTATATTTTTTTTATGGGTGAAAATTGAATGGTAACCTCGTGCTAACGGGATACGCTTGCGGAGCACCAGTGAAGGGTGATAGATGAGAATGAAAACAGGCCAGTTAGTCCATCATGATGAATTCATCAGGAAATAACCATGATAGTTTCCAGGGGGAACCGCGAGGAGGTTGACCTGGTTGAGTATATTGCTAGCAATGGGATTCTCAGTCTCCATTACTAACAAACCCTTTCCCCCCAGTTAGTCATATTGGGCATACCAAGCCAATACCGGCATGTCGCTTATAGCAGACTGATTTATTTAAACGTTAAAGTTTAATAATACAGCCTTAGCCAAAAGTATTTGCCACCTTAAAAAATTACATTTAACTTAAAAAAATACTTAAGAATTGGACAGAAAGTACTTAAAACCATGTAAGTATTTAAAATACCTTTAATGCTAAAATCACATAAATATTTCGTATTGAAACCCGTAGTTTTAATTATAGCATTTATTCTTTTGAATAAAGAGGAAATAAAATTTTTACATTCTTCTGGAGTTATAGCATTCTACTCCTGTACTAAACAATTCTTTAAAGTTTCTTTGGAAGCAAACGGATGTTCCTTTAACTCGCACTTTAAAATCGACCATAAATGTACGATAGGGTTAAAATCCGGTGACTGAGAGGGCCAACTTAGAAGCTCTGTACCATTTTTCTCAAATCAGTTTATGGTGGTTCTGGATTTATGGCATGGGGCATTATCTTGGTGGAAACGGACGCCATCTAGGTTCGTGTCATCGAACATCATATGCAATGAGGGTTCCAGCGCTGTTTCCAGCACCTCGATATAATATATCACTGGGTTTTAGATTGGTATATAACACAACTAACCATGTATAATTATGCCGGTCTCGTAGTGAGATAGGCAGCAACAATAGAACACCAAATACTCCGATTCAAACGGATGTCGAATATGCAACATACTTTTTGCATTCAGTCTTACCGATGACCTCCAGACATTCGAACATTCATGTAAATTATTATTATGCTCATGCATTGCCGGAAAATTAATCAGATATTGTTTACTTCGACAATTAAAAATAAATATCACTGGATATGTTACAGCGTCACCTAGTACCATACTAAGCAAAACACTATAGGTGCTAGACGATTGACAATTTAAATACTTTTTTAAATACATATGTCAATCAAATAGACGACGTGCTTAAGAAGGCCTAAATTAAAAGTACCCGTGACCAGCGAGCGTGTATGAAAAGATTGATGAATGTGGAATAAGCGAAAGATGTTTGAATCGAAGCATTTGGCGTTCCATTGTTTCTGTCTACCCTAATGGGAGACAGGCGTGACAGATATGTATGTATGTATGTATGTACATACACGTATATTACATATTTACTCTTCTCCATCCAAAGGTTGCCTGGAAGAGATTGCTCTTAATTTAACATATTACGGCTCATTACTCGCCCATTGTTTTCTCAGTGTAATATTTTCTTGTAATTGTTTGTATTAATAATAAGTGTACTATTGTAATCTTTTGAAGGGCACAATAAAGAGTAGTTATCTGTCTATTCTATTTATAAAACATCCAGAATATTACAAACAGACATACTCATGAATATATTTTTTTTTATTGTGCAGAAATCGAGCCTGCTACCATCGGTAAAAGAGGCGGCATGTCAAACCGATAGATCACCAAGATCGTAATTAATTTAGTTTAAAAAAATATTGCTAGTTTACGATTATGCGTGGTATAATTAGTAAATATTGAGCTAGTAAATATATCGAGGTTTTCCCTAGAAACTACAGTACCGGGTTCTTCAAAAAATTCATATTAAGGTTTTCTCAGTGTCGGCACGGACACTCCTAGTGTTACAGGCGGTAATAGGCTACAGTGACCGTTTACTATCAAACGGGCTATAAGCTTGTTTGCCACATTTGTGGTATAAAAAAAATCAATTGACAAATTTCAACAAAAAAATTTACTTTGAACTCATACTTATTATCATCCTTACTAATATTATAAATGTGGAAATGAGTTTTTTAATCTATATCTATACACATATAATAAAACTGTAGAGGTCAAATGTCTATACCATACCCATAAGTTACATCTAATCTAATTATATTTTTATATGTAGATAATTAATTTGTATTATGTTTGTTACAGATTTGTCAGATCTAAGCGACGGGCAAGCTGGCCACCAACCATGCATTAGATATCGATCAAACGATATCGAAACGTAAGTATTTGCCCCCCTTTTCATATATATTTTCTGATGAATAGTTCGGATTGATACCTGCTTCTAATTTTCACCACCGTACAACCCACCATAAACTAAAGTTTCATCCCGACCATCTGGACGCGTGGCGGTCTTCCACCGTGCGTTTTTCAAGGCACTTTCTTCCACGCACAACCACTCTTTGGAATCAACTTTCAGCAGCAGTATTTCCGAACCGACACGATATCATAACCTTCAAGAAAAGAGCATATTCCTTTTTAAAAGGCCGGCAGCACACCTGCAATACCGTTGGTGTTGTGGGTGATCATGGGCGGCGGTAGTCACTTTTTTTTATACTACTGAGGTGGCAAACAAGCATATGGCCCACTTGATGGTAAGTGGTTACGTGGTACGTTAAGTAAGTAGCCTATGAACATCTGCAATACCAGAGGTATTACGCGTGCGTTGCCGACCCTGAAGAAACCTCTTTACCCCCCTTTTGAAGAACCCCATGCTGTAACATCTCTGAAATCGCGCAGTACGCCACTATTGAGGCTGTAGGACATGAGGATGAACTCTGTCCATAGCGAGTCGTACGATGCTAGAAAATGGCTCTATCTTACCATCAGATGAGCCGCATGCTCCTTTGATTCTTGTGTTGTAAAAAAAATAAAATGTTTTCTATAAATACGCAGTGTATTGCCAATTGTCAAAGTAAGAATATCTTTACCGTTTTTCTCCTATTTTTTAATGGATGATAATGAAATAGTGATCCCACGTAGCGCTATCGGTATACACTGGCGGGGCACCAGTGAGGGGTGATAGATAGATGAGTATTACAGCAGATCAGTTAGCCCATCGTGACCAATGCAAGATGTATTAATCACAAGTGTTTCCAGGCGGAACCGCGTGTAGGTCGACCTGACAAGGCTTGCTAGCAATGGGGCTATTAGTCTACATTACAAACAAAATTGTAACTAGACGGTGAACATTTATACGAGATATTTATGGAAAATTTATAGTTTTAACGAGAGCAATAGAAGCTGAAACAATAGTTTTGTTTTTTATTTTATCTGTTTGTCTATATATTTGTACTAGCATCTCTCATAAACTACTGCACACAATTTAATGAGGTTTTCACATTTTATGAAGGTGTCATTTAAAATCTGGCGTATGTCTCATTTTGTTACGCCATTTGGAAGTGATCCATTTAATTAGTTCTCCCACTTCTGAAATCCAGGCGCACTAAATGGTGGGCAAAAAACTATCAAATAATATAAGTCTTTGCAACCTTTTCATACCAAAATACCGTAAGAGGCCGTTGTAGGAATAAAGCACAATACGTACACACGAGAAGGAAAACTCTAAATAAAATTATTCCACCATATGGCCATATGGCCAGCGTGGTAATAAATAGTAGGCCAAAAATATCCTTTTGTCAGAATTATGCTCATTACATTTCGCAATGTGTGATGTAATAAAAATATATTTTTGCGTAAACAATAAATAGTACTGCCTTACTACAACAAAATTAAACTAGCGATAGACAAGCATTCAATTATTGTTTAAACGACATACTATAAACGTAAATGCGTGTCTAACATATATTTACGCGTAAAACGAAAGTTATTTATTATATAAATAAAAAGTATTTAAATTAATAAATTTTATTATAATAACTTATGGATTTTAGTACATAAAATTACAAATAAACATTATTACAGTGACTAAATAATATTTAATCATTTACAGATTTGTTGAATACAGTTTATATGAACAACGTTTTAAATATTGTAGTAAAACCGAAGTTTATCAGTTGTTTAATCAGTTTAGTGGTGTACAGTATCCAAACATGTGAACACCAAACATCTTTACATTATTTATGTATACTTATAGGAACCCTTGTAAATATTTTATTTTAAATTGGACAACATAAAACTTAAAATATATAAAAAGGAAAACTTAGTTTTTCTGTATAATGAATTAACTCAAAAAATACTTAAAAGATTTTAAAAATTCTTTTACCTATAGGAAGCTACATGATCAGAGTGTGACACAGGCTGTATTTTATTTAAAAAAAAAAAAACCGTGCAAAACATGTACTTGTCGCTAGTATTAAATATACCCGACTCAGTGTTTTGGTCACTCGAGGCAGAGAATGAATGACGTAATATCTCGGTGGGAGTTCTGTTACTGGAACAGTAAGCGACATTTGTCCTTAATGCCCTACAACATATATGTATATATGTATGTCAAATAGACATTACCTTCAAGAATATTCGTTTACGTTATTCTGGTGTTGTAAATAAATGATGTTAGACGCAGGGCGGAATTTTTCTTTTTCACATAGTAAGTTACCTACTAGACAAATAACGATCTAAAAAAACATCCCCTACAAATTCTTCAAAATATGGGCAAAGAGGTTTCTTCAGGGTTGGAAACGCGCTTGAAATACCTCTGCTATTACAGGCAATCATATGACTACGGTAACCGTTGACCATTACGCGGGCCGTATGCTTGTTTGCCACCTCATGCCATCAGCCCCATCTTAGAGCGCATCATCGTTTTCCATCAGGTGAGATCGTGATCAATCGCAGAAACCTTTATTAGTAAAAAAAGTCAATGGTGTGAAAAAATCTCTAATAAAAATAACAATGGCGTGCTTTTAAAATTATATTAATATTTTCGAAGAAAAAATTCTATTTAATTTCTGAGAACTTTTACTTTATTTAGTCCTAACTTTTAATTGTTACTAGTGTCTTCTTTATCGGGATATGTTGACAGAGATAAAAAGTAGCCTGTTTTTCTTCATACTAAGCGTATGCCAATTTTCATAATTCGTAAGGAGGTAATTCCATACTCATTAGTTAGAAAGAAGAAGTAACAAACAAACTTTCACGTTTATGTTACTAGTAAGAAGTTTATTTATCTATATTACCTACCTGCGGAATGAAAGTAATAATTAATGTTAATAATTTACAGATATATTGAAAATGTCTGATTTGCTTTCAGATAATATTATTTATATGTTTAGTATATTCACTTACATGTAATGTAGATATTAGCTTATAACAAAAATGTACCCAGGCGGACTTATCCCTTAAAGAGATTCCTTCCAGTCAACCTTGAAATTCCGAAAGGAGAATGTATCTATAGGGTTTTTATATAAAGTATAACATATATGGTGCAAAAATTATACTATTAATAATAAAATTATATTAATATATGTAGTTTGAATATAACTAATATTCAATATTTTATCGAGACTTTCGGCTCGATTTGCAGGATGTATAATTTTGTTTAAGTTGAAATTGTTTCTGTTTTTATCAGAGGATGGTTCACAAAGGACTAAATAACAAGAAAAATATTCTTAATTTTTTTAAAAATCCTTTTATGGTTATACCGGGACTGTTATAGTATACTTAAATTACATTTAATACTCTGAACAAGAATTTTCCATTTCTAACCCACATTGTTTAGGCTAATTCAACAGTAATAATAATTCAAACAAAATGTAGGGTTTCCATATTTACTTAGGGCTTGATTGCATAATTAATATGGATGTCGTAGCTTCATGAATTTAAACTTGAATTTAATAACGTTAAAGTCTGATTTCGTATGCTGTTTGCCCTAGCAAATTTGGAGCCGTTCTGGTTGATTTTGGCAGACGAGAGAGATGACAATTCTAATTCGAATACGACCTACTTTATATTTAAATTAATTAAGGTTCAAATTTGATTGTTCTGTCGTACAGTTGGATGCATTGTAATACATCATACATTATTGCATACATGTTATTGTAGAATCATCGTAAAATCTTACTCTTGATTATCGTATCAAATAACTTCATGTAAGGATTCTTGTGAATAACTAGAATGCTTATTTAATTTTTATATTATTAATCATTATGTCGTTATGATGTAGTGGTTTCACATACCGCTTTATCTTGGAACAATCACAGATTCGATTCTCACACGATACGAACATTTTCTAGTCATAAGAGTATATCTTTTTTATTGGTCTGGGTATTTTCTATGTGTAATATACATTGAAATATTTCTATCAATTGTCTTGTTTTTTTTTTTTTTACAACACAGGGGGCAAACGAGCATGCGGCTCACCTGATGGTAAGTGACTACCGCCGCCCATGGTCACCCACAACACCTACGGCATTGCAGGTGTGCTGCCGGCCTTTTAAAAAGGAATATGTACTATTAATATGAATAATATTGTACCCATTCTTTAAGATTTTCATAATTTGGCTATAGCGTTGTGTACTGTATTTATTTATTCCCAGAGGTTCGATTCTAAGCCACCTGAAACCATAAAGTACTTGCACGTGTTCGCCGCTCGAAAACAATTCTTCCCCATATTGCACAATCTATGGCGACCCATCGCCTTTTCTGCTTACCGATATCTTCATTTCAGATTCTATCACACAACGAAACTCGGACCCGAGCCAATTTATAAACGTTTCCGAAATTGACCTAAAATAGAAGCGTACTTATCAGGAGCAGGGGACTAGTATCGGGGACTGACGGCCCCATCGCTAGCAATATATCAAGTCTATCTCTATGCGATCCCCCTTGGAAACCGTCACGGTTAATTCCTGGTGAATTCGTCACAATGAGCCAACTGACCTGATTTCATCTGCACCTATCATATGTCACTGATACTGTCACTCCGCATCGATAGCACAGGCGGGATTACCATTTCATTTTTATCCATTGAAAAAAAATATATTTGCATTAAACATTCGTTTGAAATTATGCCTACAGTCACCTTTTATCATCGCACCACTCGCCATTGACAAGGAATTCATCCTCACGCGCTTTAATCTAAATAGTCAAATACAATGCGGTTTCAAAGGATTTTTTTTCGCGTGAACGCTCAGGCTATGGAATGAGCTCTCTGTCGAGGTTTTCCCTAGAGACTACAGTATAGAGTTCTTCAAAAAGGGTATATTAATGTTATTTTTAGAGTCGGCAATGCGCATTTGATACTCGTAGTTTTACAAGTGT